AAAATTAAAATTTTTTTTTTAAGGAATTTTAAATTTTTTTAAAAAAAAAAAAAAAAAAAAAAAAAAAAAAAAAAAAAAAAAAAAGAGAGAAAAAAAAAAAAAAAACAAAAAGTATAAAAGAATAAAAATAAAATAAAGCATGTTAAATTATATTAATATTATAATTTTATAAATTATAAAAATTATATTATTCTTATTAATATTATGAAATAAATATATAAAAATAAAAAAAAAAAAAAAAATGAGAATTATCTTTTAGCTTGGAAATTCAATTCTTATAAATCTCATTAGATGATTAGAATTTATACTAAATGACAGCCATAATATATAATTAAAAAAAACATATGCATATATAAACGTATATTTTATATATATTATTAAATTATTCTAATAATGAATTTATACTAATGTAAATTTATAAAAATAAATTATTAAGTCTTTATTTTTTATTTATTTATTTTTTTTTTTAAACATCCTGAAAGACATAAAAATGGGTAGTAAACAGAAAGAAAATATTAATATTTAGACAAAGGAAAAAATAATATTTATACATTTTTATGATTAACTTGAATTTCTTTATTATTCATAATATAATAAATTATTTTGTATATTAATTTCTTTATATATATTTAATAAATGGTTATACTTCATATGCATCATTTCTATAATTCCTTTAAGAGCTTCAGATGATTTTAAATCACCAAAAACTAATGAAAAATAATATTCTTTACAATTTGGATATTCATTAAATGTCCAATTTTTTGAAATATAATCTTGATTTTTCCATTTCAAAAAACATTCCATTAGTTCTTTTGCACATTCATCTACTTGTGGATCATTAATAGTTATCCAGTCACTATTTATTTTTGCTAAATTCTCAAAATTGGTTACTGAAAATAAATGATTATTTTCAACATTTTCACCAAATTTGTCTTTCTGCTTTTCTAAGGATTCATGTTCTTTTTTTCCTAATAATGAATTGTCATCTTTATCTCTTTCACTTTCTTTTTTTTTTTTCTCTTCAATTATTTCACCTCCATTATTCTTCATATATTTTATTTTTTCATAAAAATTTGTCTTGTTCTTTGTATTTTCGCATTTCACATTTTCTAATATTAAAACATTTTTATTATTTTGATCATTACCTTTTATATTTTCTTTATGTTCAATTATATCTTCTTTATTTTTTAATCTTTTTATTTCTACCGTACTTTTTAAAAATGGATAAAAAAATTTTTCTCCTCCTTCAATAGTGCTCTTAACTTCTTCAATATAAATTTTATTTAATACCTTACTTTTTTTTTCTTGAAAATCTTTTTTGACGATTTTATTTGTGTGGTTTTCATAAATATCATTATCTCTACCTCTTTTCATAGTCTTCTTTGAACTCATCTTAAAATCTTCAAAATTCTCTTCAGCTATCTTCTTATCTTGTTCTACACTGTTATCATCCATATAATTAAGTTTTCTCAAAACATATTTAGAATAATTTTTTTCGTAATATTTTATTACTGATATAAATTTTAGATCAGAAAAATTAATTAATGGGCGAATTTCAATATTTGTTAATTTATAAATCCACAAAAAAAAAATTTTTATTTCATTTAACAACTGTTTATATAAAGGAATATTCTTAAGTGTTTTTTCTTTTTTTCTTTTTTTTCTTTTTCTCTTTTTAAAAAGAAAGCTCATGTTCATTTTTTGTACATAAACTTCTCTGTTCTTTATTTTTTTAATTCTTCGTAAAAAATATTTTAATCCATTAATTAATCTACTTTTTAGTTTACTTATATAGTTGTAATAATATACCAAATGTTCATCTGTTGATTTTGTTCTTGTACCTATTATGTAATTACTTTTTGATCTTGTTTGAAAATTATATTTCAGAGGCATATCTTTTACGTTATTTAAAGAATTTTTCTTCATCTTATTTGCATTATTTATATTTTCAATATCATTATCATTTTTTATATAAATTTTGAGTTTATCTCCTTCTAAAATATGTGTAGTGCAATATTTAATTGGGATATCATCATATTTCAATTTGATTAACTTTTTTATACATTTATTCAACTTTTCAATTATTTTATTTTTTATTGATTGAAATTTAATTTCATCGTTTCTTATCTCTTCTAACTTTTTCTTTTTTTCTGATTCGTACATATGTTTTTGTTGTTCTTCAATTTTATGATTTTTATTATTTTCTTTTATTTTATTTTTAACATCTATTAATGCATTATTACCGAATTCCTTACTTATTTTGTAAATTTTCACTGAGGAATTTGTGTTGAGGAATTTTTCAGTCTCTTCATTTTTTATGTTAATATCTACTCCTTTTTTGGCTTTATTTAATTTTTTCATTTTAATACGATTTAAATATGCTATTTTACTTTTATGAAAACGTTTAATATGAGAACTTAATTTTTCACTTAAGTTATAATCGCAATTATAATAAGATTTTGGTATTTTTTTTTTAATTAAGAAGCATAATTTAATAATAATTTTTTTAATATATTTGTAAATTTTTGTTTTTTCATTTATATATTTAGATGCTGTAATAAATCGATCTTCCTCTTCAGCAATAATTAAACTTCTTGCTTGTCTTTTTAAGAATTTTAATTCATTCTTTTTTTCCTTTTCTTTTTTTTCTTTTTCTAAATATAAATCAAAATCGTTATCTTTTTCTCTTCTCATACTTATTTCTTCTACATGATTAAAATCACTTAATTTAGTAAAATCGAATAATTCTCTTTGCATTTTATCCTTACATATATTAAAATTTAGTATTTCATAAATAGCCATAGCTAGAGTAGAAGATTTATATTTTAAAAAAATGTTATCTATATTTGCAATTCTTAGTAAGATTTCTCCCTCTGTGGAATTATAATCATTTCTCACTTTTAAAAAATTGATATTTTCATTAGCCTTTAGTAAACTATCAAGCAAACTATAAGCAGTTGGTATAGATAAATCGTAATTTAATTTTTTTAAAATACATATCTCTACTTCTAAAGCGAAATTTTTATTTACACTATGAGAAGAAAATGTAGTATCCAAATATTGCGTAGCTGAATAGTAATCAGGAGAAGCATCTTTAATTAGATCATTATTTAATGCATAAACTTTTCTTAATCCTTCTAAGTGACTTTTACAGTACGTTTTAGCTATTAAATCTATGGATATCAATCTATAATTGTAATACTTTTGAGATATAAATAGGCATATTATAGCTATAAAATGATATATCAAATCACAAGACTCTTTTAATTCTTGATATAATATTTTATACTTATTTTTTAATTGTTCTTTATATATGAAATCATTATATATTTTAGGATAAAATTCTTTTAATAATTGTACCATTACATCAGAAAATTGTTTTTCTTCTGTAACAATATCATTAATTATACTATCAATAATTTCTTCTTTTGAATTAAATCTACTTATATATAAGTCGAATATTAGATTAGTAAAATGCAAAACACATGTTTCGCTAGTCGTCTTTAAATTAGCAAATGTTCTTGATAAACAAAGTTTTATTTTTTGACGCAAATGATAAAAATTTTCATCATTATATCTATCTAAATAATTTCCAATAAAGTGATTATCTGCTTGTTCAGCACATTGCAAAAAAGATGATTTTGCATATGTATTATATAAAGAATAATCTACACATTTTTTTGTTTTTATTCCTCTATTTATTAAAATACTACTATGTCTTTCCATAACTGCAACTTCTAAATCAATATTATTTTTTAAAGACTCTTTATTATTATCACTTTCAAAGTTATCTTCAATTGGTTTTTCCTCTTCATTATAATTATTTTCTAAATTTATATCACAATTATTTTTTAATATATTATCTATGCTTTCTAATGGCAAATCTTCATTTAATATACAATCCAAGTTTTTCTTTTTTTTCTTTTTTTTTCTATTTTTTTGTACTAATTCTTTTGATTCTTTTTCATATAATAAAGATGAATCATCCATCAACTTATTATTCATTAAATTTTCATTTAATATATTTTCCTCTTTTATCCCAGAAGTTATCGAAATATTATTATTTTCTCCATCTCCTAAAAGTACACTTTTATTTTCTGATTTACTTTTAATAGATAGTTCTATTTCTAAGCTCTTTTCATCAAAAATATCAGATAAATAATAAGTATTTCTTTTATTATTTCTAAAATAATTTATATTATTCAGATTATCTTCAAAATCAGATTCATCAATTGAATTATTTTCAAAATAAGATTTCCCATTTAAGCTATTCTTAAAATAAGATACACAATTCATGTTACTTTCATTATATTTATCATTTGAATAATTTTCTATATTATTTATTTCCATAGTATTATATTTATCATCATATTTATAATTTCCTTCATTTTTATTTTCATTTAACAAATTAGAGAATTCACCTAAAGAACTTACCTTATATAAATCTATGTTTATACATTCAGAACATTTTGAAAGATCTTCTTTTTTCAATTCGTTATTATGTATTAAGTGCTTATTTTCTTTATAAAAATTATTTATATTATTGTAAGAAATTTTTTTTTTTTTTTTTAAATAATTCATATAATATGGAAAATTAGAAGATACTCTTTTCTTCTTTCTTTCCTTATACTTATTTTTTAAAATGCATTTCACTCTAGATTTTAAATTTGTGTGATTTGCATATTTTTTTAAGATATCATATCTTAATGAATTTGTTGCAACATTGTTAATATTACTATTTAAAAATAAAAAATTAATTCCATTTTGTAATTCTTTTTTTCTGTTATATATTTTATTTTTTTCTATAAATAAAAGATTACCAGGATTATCAATAATTTTATTTTTATCAAAATAATTAAGATAAACATTAGTATTATTATCTGTAGTGTTATTAATATAACCTCCATTATAATTAGCATTGTTATACATACATAGGTTGTTTCTTTTATTATTACCCACAAAAATATCAAAATAATAATTATTATTATGTTTCCTATTTATTTCTCTATTTAAATTATTATTATTCATATTTAAAAATCCTTTTATGTTATTATTATAATTAGAATTTCTAATTCTATTGGATCTTTTTATTTTGTATTTTCCAATCAAATTATAATTCTTATTATATCCCCTTCTTTGAATACTTTTTGCTTCACTTTTTTTTTTATTTGTTAAATTAATAATTAATATATCCCTTATATTTTTATCTTTTTTCTCCATTAATTTTTCAATAATAAACTTATTACAATCCTTATTAAATGAATCTATCATTACTTTTTTTTTTATCTCATATGGATAAATATCTGTATTTGAATTATTATTATTATTACTTTCATAATATCCTGTGTTTTTAGTTATTTCTCTATGAAATATATTTTTTTTTAAAAAATTTATTTTGTTATATTTGTTTTTTACAAAAAAGTGTTCATTAATTTTATTATTTGTGTTTTTATTTAATTCATTCAAATAAAAGGTGCTGAAAGTTCGTTTCCTTTTATTATAACTATTTTCTGTTTTTTCAATAGACTTATCAGGTTTAAACTTTAAATTTTCTTCATTTACCCATTTTTTCAATGAAAATTTATTATTAATTCTTATTAAAAAATCAATTATTTCTTCTGTATTATTTATCATATTTTTCTTTTCATAAAGTTCTAACTGTCTATTGGTATTATTAATTTTTATATTACTTTTTAAGTTTCTTTCTTTAAAATTATTTATATATTTTAATATCCTATTATTAATATTATACGATAAGAATGATTTATTAATTTCATTTTGTAAAAACGGGTATTGTATAGGTAGCTTCCTTTTACTTCCTTTTATATTTTTTATAAAATAACAACACAATTTATTTTTTAAATATAGCTTGTCTATAAAATGTTTTATAATGAAATTCTCCTTCTTTTTTAAATAATATAAATATTTGTATTTTTTTTTAATATATTTTGTAATATTCTTACTTATAATTATTTTATTAATTTTTTTTTTACCAACTAAAAAATAAACTTCATATGAAGTCTTTTTATCTGTATATCTGTAATGATTCATATTTTTATTAATTATAATTTCTATTATAAAAGAATTATAAGAAAGTAAATTATTATATTTCTTTACATGCAATTTTTCTTTTAATATATCTTTATTAGCAATAATTGGAAATTCCATTTGGAAATTTCTACTTTTCAACATATTTCTAGGTTCGTTATCATTTTTTATTGATTTAAAATGATTCTGATATTTTTGAATTTTTTTTAATTTTATTAATTTATATTTTTTTTTTATGTTTATTACACCACCTATTAGTTTTTTGTTTTTCATTGTTGTAATAAAAAAAAAACAGTTACGTATGTTTTCAATTAAAGTAACATTTTTCTTTTTTAACTTTGTTACATTTACATTTGATATAATTAATTCTAAAGTATTTAATATGCATTTTTTAAAATTTTCACATTTTAACTTATAACATTTTTTAAATTCTTCAATATTTTGAATCTTTTTTCTTAATTTAGTTTTATGAAATTTCAATAATTTCACCATACTCAATCTTATTTTTTTTTTTTTTTTAATTTTAAATAGCTTATTATAATAATTCTTAAGGTATGAATTATATATAAAACATTTTACCCTTTTTTTTAATATTTCTCTTTTTAAAATTCCATGTATTTCTTTTTTTCTATCTTTTATTTTAGAGAATCTTCTTTCAGTAGATATTTTCATAAATTTATTAACATTTAGTATATAAAATATCTTCCTTAATTTAAAATTTAAGCGTTTTAAAAATAATTTGTCATTTTTTATGTATTCATTATCTGAATAAAAAGTATTTTTTCTTTGTATTTGATAGATATTAGATAAAAAAGAAAACATATTTTTTACTGATGGAGAATATTTTTTAATGAAATTTATCTTACTATATTTATATGTTTCTAAGACAAAATTTTCATTATTATTTTTATTCTTACTAATTAGTATTAAATAAGAATTATTAACTTTATTATCCTCAAAAAAAAAATATTTTTTTACAATGTCATCTAAAAATATAGCAAGAATTTTAAATAAATTCGTTTTATAGGTTTTTTTTTTTTTTAGAATATTTTTTTCTTTATTAATTTTTTCATTTTTATTAATTTGATTAATATATCTCATTTCTCCATTGAATTTTTTATTGTATTTATTTATTTTTATATAATGTTCTTTTATTATATTTTGAAATATTTCTGCATCTTTTTTTAAAGCTTCATTCTCGTTTTTGTATTCAAAAAGATATTTTTTTTTTTTCTTATTTTCTAATACAAAGATTTTTACCATATTAAATTTAATAATAATATAATTATAATTTTTATAAAAATTAATTATATTTTTATAGTATCTTAATTTTTTAGTTATTTCATTATTTAATATTTTATCACAAAAGTATTCCATATGTTTCAAATCCTTGCATGTTGCAAATTTTTTATTAATTTTTTCAATATGTTCATTAAATGAAAATTTAGAAATAAAATTATTTTTTAAATTATTTTTTTTATATTTTAGATTATTTATATTTTTTAAAAAATTATTATTTTGATCACTAAAATTCATATTTTTTAATTTAATTTCTTTATCTTTGTTTCTATAAGTAATATCCATTTAGTGTCTTTATATCTTTTAAGTTATGTCTTAAAATTACATAATTAGAAGTTTATAAAATCTTTATGAATATATATATTTTTTTTTTTTTTTTTTAAATTCAATTGTTTTATAAATATATATATTTTAAAGTATAAATTTTTTACAATTATAAATTACACACTTTTATTTTTAATGTCTCATTTTTCTCATCTCAATGTATATTATTTTTATCCATTAAAAGGAATTTATATCATATTCTCATTTAAAAAATAAATGAATAATATACACATAAAAATACATATTAACTAAATGATAAAAGATAAATATATCTTAATGTTTTCTATAATGAAATAAAAATATATATATTTTTTTTTTTTTATCATTGATACGTTTAATATTTTTTATATAATAAGTAAAAATAGAGAAATTTTTTATTTTAATTAAATAATTATCTAAAAGAGAAGAAATTATTTCGGATATAGTAATTTTAAAAAGAAAAAAATAGATATTCACAATGTTTTTTTTAAAAATGAAAAAAAAATATAAAATAACATATCTGAATTATTTACATAAATTTTTTTGTTATTTTCTATAGAAGAATAAAAAAAAAAAAATCATAAAAGCATTTAATTTTTTTTAAAAGAATATATCTTCTTTTCTTCAATTAATTTAAATATAATGCTTTTTTCTTTTTATATATTTATTTATTAACATATTCATTAATGAATATGATAAAAGAATAGTTATATAATTAATTTCATTCCATATATTTTTCATTCTACTCAAAAAAAAATTAAGACAAGGAACATTTTTGTAATATTACTGCACATAAAAACATAGTATTATTGTTATTAATGAAATTAGAAAAGAAAAAAATTGCGTTTACATTTTTATTTTTTATAGAAAAGTATGATTTAGCTATTATTTAAAGACACCTGTGAACATTTTCTTTTTATTTATTTTTTTTTTTTTTATATATAGAAATACTAAATACTCTATTTGAATATAATTTCAAAAAATATAAAAAAAAATCTCTTGAAAATGTTTAAGAAGAATCACAATATATATATATAACAAAATTTCAAAATATGTAATTTTATTTATTTTTTTTTTTTTTTTGAAAACAAAATTATTTAAAAATAACATGAGTTATTAATGAGAAAAATAAAACTAATATACCGAAAAAAAAAAATTTAAATAACTGAAAAAAATATTCATATTCATTAGAAAGAAATTATAAAAATTGATGAAATAATTTTTATTCTTAAGCCTCACACAATTTTTTTAAAAAAAAGAAAAAATTTGAATATATAATTTTAAATATATTCTTATTTTATGAAAATAATATGAAGTAATTTTCTGTTAATATATATATATATTTTAAAACAAATGCTTTTTAACAATTTCATTAGTTGTGTATATTTTCTTTTAATGAAATTTTCATTATATATATTAACCATAGCAGGAATAAAAATTTTCCTATTAAAAATATTAACGATGATAAATTCAAAAAATCTTTTAAAGATTTTAAATATTTTCACTCTTGAAAACTCTAAAAATTTGTTTTCGTTATTTAATTTTTTAAAATTATTAATTTTTATATACATATTGAAGTTCTAATAAAATAAGAAAAATGGTTAATACTACTATAACAAAAAAATATTAATAATTTAACTAAAAATTAAAAAGGAGTTCAACAAAAATATAATGTAGATTTAAAATAAAATTGTTATTTTTTTTTGTCTATTTCTTTTAATATGCTTAATAAAAAAAATTAAAGAAATAACTTTTAAAGCTTAATGAATTATAAGGAAAAAAAAGAATAATTTTATTTTATTTTATTTTAAAAAAATTTACAAGAAGTACCTTTTTGTGCCACTTTCTAAAATTTTTTATATTTTTTCATGATATTTTATTTTCTTTTATTTTTATCAAAATTTTTTTAATATGTTATGTAAAATGCTGATATCATATTATTTAATACAATTTTAATAAAAACTATTTGACATTATTTGTTTTGTTAATAAGTATTTTCCTTAAATATTTAAAAAATTCTATATTTTTTATGATTCTTTTTTTATTATAAGAAATACTAAAATTTAAACATTGATTTCCATTTAATTTATTACCATAATAAATTTATTTTATTTAATATATCATTATTATATCGCAAATTATTTATAACTTAATTATTTTATTTTATATTTATTAGATTATAAATACATAAATAAACTAAATTAAAAATAAAAATAAATGAAATACAAATTTTCATTAGCATTATGATATTAATAAAATAAAATGTCAACAAAAAAAATTAATAAAGAACAAGAAAAGAAAAGTGTTGCAAACTAGAGATTTTAATTTTACTAAATTAGCTCTTAATTTTTTTTTTTTTTTTTTTTTATTACCTAAAATTAATTTATATGTAATCAATGATATAAAACAAGGTACTTTAATTTTTAAAATAAAAATAAAATAAAAAATATTTAGTTAAAACTAATTACAAAGAAGTAATTTTTATGTTATCCATTTTTTTTAATATATATAAAATTGTGAAAACTAAAATATTATGTATATTATATTTTCATTCTTTGACAATTTCTCTGTATTTAATTATTCGTATTTAGCTTTCTGAAAAAAATATCAAATATGTAATTCATTTTATGTGTTATTAATAGATACATAAATTAATATAATTCCTTCTATATTCAAACTATTAATTCTAACAAATAATGGTAAATCCGATGAAAAAAAATGAAGTTCTTAATAAAAATATTAAAATTTATAAGATAATTATTTTAGATATATATCTTCTTTATACCAAATTAATATTTTATTTATATAACGAAATTTTATTCTCATAAATAAATATTAGACATTCGTTAAATTTCCAATAACCATCTTGCATAGTTTAAATGAAAATAATAAATAAAAGAAAATACAAAACAAATAACATTTATTTAAACAATAAGACTAAAAAAAAAAAATTATTAATATTTATTTAAATCTTAAATATAATATCTTTTTAATTAATTATAAAACGCACGATGAGATTACCATTTTTAAAATAAAATATATATATCCATTTAGTTCTTGTTAGTAATTAACTTTTTCCTAAAAATTTGTAAAAAAAAATAAGAATTTTCGTAATTTTCTTATAGTTTTATTTTATTATATTTTATTTTCTCTATTTAATATTATTCTTTTTACATTATTATACTTTAATTTTGCATTATTTCCTTTTAACTTTTTTTTTATTTTAATATTACTTTTAATATTTTAATTTTTATTTTTAAAATTTTGGTATATGCTCATTACTAGTTAAATAATTATAAAATTTAAAAAATAAATATTAATATTTTTACATTGCACACAAAATTAATACAGAAAAAAAATTATTCATACATAATATCATATTTTTTTTTATCATAAAAAAAATTATATTTATTAACAGTTCATACTTTTTCTTTTTTTAACATTCATATTACTTGAATTTAACATAAACTTACCATTTATTTAAAATTATTTTACTTTTTTTTATTTCTTTTATATTAGTATTTTTTGTTAGCTTATTTTTATTAATGCATATATATATATATATTTTTATTATAAAGACAAGTTTAAAATTATAAAATATAATTTCATTTTTTATTTATTGTTTATTATTAAATATATATTTTAACTCTTTGTTTAATATATATATTTTTTTTTTTTTTTAAATGTAAAAAATTTGATGTAAATTTTATAAATTAATTGTATCTTACTGATTAAATAAATTAATATTTAATCGAATATATATCTATATATTTTAAATATATAAAACTCCATATTTTTATGTGGCAAGGATATTTTAGACTGATATAAAATATTATATATTTCAACAAATTTTAAACTAAAATAAAAAAAAAAAAATATTAATGTCAATACTTTGTCAAAATTAACATATTAATTTTTTTTTTTTTTTTTTTTTTTCTTATTTATCCTTAACATTTTATGCAAAAATGAAATATATTAAAGCAAAATTATTGTAAATATTAAAATTATATTTTATAAATATATATGCATATATATATATTTATATATATATTACATGTTAATTTATTTAAAAAGTTTGTGATTTTTTTTTTAAGGGATGCCTACAGAAATAATTGTAAAAAAAAAAAAAAAATAAAATAAAATAATGTCAATTATTAGCAAAAAGCTAACATTTGATAAGCATATTTAGTCATTAAAAAACATTAAAGATATGAATCAAGTTTCTGTAAAACCTAAATTTAAAGCTGAATTCGTTAATAATGAAAATAAGGGTGTAAGGTTTATGAATAAAACAAAAAATAATCAGAATACAATAAGTAAAAATACAAATGTACAAAATTTGTTGTTACCACAAAAAAATACATATGCAAAAAATTCCAATTTAAAACTGAGAACAAATAACAATACATTTAATCATCCCCCTAAATTAACCTTCAAGAATAGTCAAAATGCTCCTCATAAAAATTTTCAAGCACCCTCTACAAAAGTACATAATGAATTAAGATATGAAGAGAAAAAAACTTTATTTAATACAAGAAACACATTACATGATGACTCTAAAAAGAATTTTTTCAATAAATCAACAATGCAAAACAAAAATGAAGAAAAGTATAATGATAGAAAAAATGTGAAAAAATCTTTTAATGATAATAACAGTTTAAGAAAAAATGATAATAATACTAGATTAACTAAAGCTTTTAATACCCATTCAACAAACAACATTTCTAATAATCCTGCATATAATATTGTATACAATATTCAGAATAAAGAAATAGAAAATAATAAAAATGATAATGTGAATAATTCAGAAAATTTCATACCTACTTATTCTTCACCAACGAAAAGAAAATATGAAACCTTTGAAAATATAAACAAAAATGATGAGAAAGATAATAAGGAAATGAAAACACAAAATAAAAGATTTGCTCAAAAGAATTATAATATTGATAATAATTTTAATATAGAATGCAATAAAAATTTTAACAATAATAATATTTTAAATAATACAAATGAAAATATGAATGTCTATAGTAAATATTCAAATGATAATCTATTTAATAGAAATAATTTAATTAATAAATGTTCAGATAAAAATATTTTTTATAATAAAAATAAAAATGAGACATTAAATAGTTCGTATCCAATAGTAAATGTAATTAAAACTTATGATAACTTCAATTCAAATTCATTAGGAAGAAACTACACTAATTATGAGAGATTGATAAATAATAATAAGTTGATAAACAATCATAATTATGAATTAAATCACAAACATTATTTTAAGGAAAAAAATGCAAAATTTAATTTAGAAAATAATAAGAATAAAAATAACACAGAATTTATGGAACAATTTAATAACCACAAAAATGAAAATCATAATAACATTTATTATTTGAATGACCCTATTGCTGAAAATGATAATAAAAATTTAAATTATTTAACTGAAACAAATAGTGAAAAAATAATGAACAACACAAGTAATGAAAATAATAATGATAATTTTAATTCATGTGTATTTGATAGATTAAGTGAGGAAAATTTTAATTCTTACATGAAAAGAAAAATAGATAAGAGTGATGATATTACCATTAAAGATATAGAAAAATTTGATACATTGAATAATAGTAGTAATAAAAATATTTCAAATAATTCTAAGAAATTTAGTAATTTACTGAAAAATAATTTAGAAACAAATAAAATAAAGTGTATACTAAATAATGAAAAAATTATGTTAAGAAATAATATAATTGAAACTAATAATGCAGATTTAAAAAATTTATCGAATTCACAAGCTTTTTCAGAAGCTAGTATAAGTAATAACATGGAAAATTATAAAGAAAAACTTACACATCTTAAATATAATGGAATGAATAGAATGTCTAAAAGCTTGAATCAAAATGAATTAAGGGATACAACAAATAAAAAAATAAATATAGATACTTATAAAAGTAATGATTGTGAATATATATATTTTCAAAATATTATCAATAATATAGATAAGTGTAATAACGTAGAAAAAGATATTGATACATTATGTGAAAATGTCATGAATATAAACGATTACTCATTAAATTTTAACTATGAAAATGAATGCATAAATGATATCTTAAATTTATCAAATAATGTTAGTGATAATATACAAAATATACAACAGATTATTTATAATAAAAAAAAAGTAGTTCAAGATAAAAGAAATATTGTAAATGAAGAATATGAAAATATGTGTCAGAAATTAAAAGATTGTGAATCCATATTTTGTGATACAAACGAAGAAACTGGAGAAAAAAAGTTAAAAGTTTTTTATGAAATTGATGAAAAAAAAAACATATTGAAAAATAAGTATGAAATGAAAAAAATGTTATTAAAAAAAGCGCAATATAAAATTGATAAATTGCAAGAATATACTGAAGCTATAAAACTTAAAACATTAGCTATCTCAAAAAGATATAAGTATAATGAAAAAAAAAAAATAAAATAATTATATATATTTATATTTTTATGCACTTTTATAATTTTTTAAAAATAACATTGAAATATTTTTATTTTTAATATATTTTATGTATGTTTTACTCCATTTTTAATATGAACATATATATATATATATTTAATATTTATTTTATAGAAAAACCTTTTTATTGATTGAAGAGCTTTTTCGGTTAAAAATAATAAAAGATAAAGAAAATGAATTAGAAGTTTGCTTAATACCAAAAAATACGGAAACAGATATGTGGCATCGTCTACAACTAGATAAAAATGAAATAACATCTGATTCTTGTGATTATTTGTGGAGTCAAATAGAATCATTTGTTGATAAAGAAACATTTAATAATTATTTTTGAAAAAAATATATTTTTTTTTTTTAAGATATAAGTTCATTATATTTCAAAGATATTTTTAAAAAGTTTATATGTCTTTTTTTTTTTTTTTTTTTTTTTTTTTTTTCCATCCATTATCCTTTTTGAATAACTTAATTTTTTTCTCTCTATAATATACATTTTTAATAATTTATATATTTCTTTTTTTTATTTTCTTTCAATTTTTATTATTACTTTTTATTTTATATTTTTCTAAATTGGCATTTATTTATGATAGATGATTTTCTAAATATATCTTTACTTATTTTTATATAACAAAATAGTGTCTTTTTTTTTTTTTTTTTTTTTTTTTTTTTTTTTTTTTTTTTTTTTTTTTTTTTTTGTTTAACTAATTTATTAAATGTCTATTTCTTTCAATATATTATAAAATCTTAAATAAATAAAAAATAAAAAAATATACTATAAAAATTATACAAAAAAAAGAATAACAAAATTTAAATATTCATATATATAAGCATTAAAGCATAAAATCAAATATAATATTCTTTTTTTTTCACTATTTATTCTTTACACATGTACAAAAATAAAAGATGAAATGTTTAAATTATGTAATTATTCAAAAAAAAAAAAAAAAAAAATAATAAATAAGGAACAAAACAAATATATCTAAAAAAGATTCAAATGTTACTAGAATATGCGTCATATTAATATGTATGTATCTTTCTATTTTTCATATAAAAAATATGAACAGAAAGTAAAAAGATTAAATATTATTACCACACGTAATAATAATATATATATATATATATATATATATATATATATATATATATATATATATATAACTATTTTTCTTGTTTAATGAAATAATTAATATATACTGTTTTTTAAAAGATAATCTTGTAGCTTAACAGGGTAAATATCATCTTCTACATATAAATCACCATTAATAAATTTTATTATAATTCTTTTTCCATTTAATAAATATGTGTTAGTATCCACTTTTTTTATTTTAAAAGCATTATTATTTCTACTATAACAATTAAGATAATCATATAAAGCTAAATATATTGGGTCATCCTTAATTGAATTAAGAGACTCTTTTTCTCTGGTAATTTTATTTGATATTTCTGATGATGATACTACAAGATTATTTTTATCATTTGTTTTCCTTAATAAAGATTTAAAATTCTCTTCGTCTTTGATATTATTTTTTGTCATACTAACCCTAGTATCCTTGATACCATTATTTTTGTCATCACTTTCACTACTACAATCGCTAAATGATTTTCTTTTGTTGTTTGTCTCCTGCAACTTTTTTATTTCTCGATCTTTTCTATATGTTTTAGCTTTTAATTCAATTATTTTTTTTTCTAGTGAATTATTCTCTAAAGTTGACTTTTGTAAAAGGAAAGTAGTATTCAATAGTTGTTCATTTCTGTGTATATGTTTATTTAACAATTTTCTTAAATGATCTTCATTTTTTTTTAGTATTTTGATTTCATTATTATTTTCATAAATTAACAATTTTGATTCACAATCTAACAATTTATCTTGCAATTTTTCTATCTCACTACATTTTTTTAAGATTTCATCATTTAGATCATTCATCTAAAAAAAAGATAATGAAAAAATTCCTTTTTTTTTTTTTTTCTCTTATTATAAAATAACCAGAATTAATGAATTATAAAAATATAATTTAAAAAGTAAGTCAAAATTTATATACAAACACATAAATATATATATATATATATATATATATATATATATATATATATATATATATATATATATATATAATGTATAACATTAAAAAAAAATTTACATCAGCACATATTTTATATATATATATATATTTTTTTTTTTTATTATTACTTCATTTTTTATATTTTCATTGGCAGAAACTACTTCATTATAATGATTTGTTAATTTAGATATTTCATCTATATGGTTCTTCATAATTTCATCCTTTTCTTTGTATATTTGATTAATAACACCAATATAATGCTCTTTTTGCTTTTTTAAACGAATAGAACACTCCTTTTTTATATTTTTTACTTTCTTTTTTATATTAACAATGTTAATATTTTTTATTTCCAAATCAAATTTTAACCTGTTCATGTCATGTATAGTTTTATTATTTTCCTCATCTTTAGCTAAAAGATTTCTATGCAATTTTTTTAGTTCATTATCTTTATTTTTTAATTCCTCTTCTAATTGTTTATAATTTATGTGCATATTTTCTATTTCTATTTTCTGATTATTCATTAATGAATTATTTAAGCTTAATCTATTTATTAAATCCATATTATTTTGTTTATATTTTATTATATCTCTGCTATTATTCAACTCTATATTTTCAATCATATCTCTTAATTCACAAATTTTTTCTTCTTTCTTTTTTAATTCATTATTTAATTCTTTTATTATTCTTCTTTGCTTTTCAATATTTAAATTTTTTTCTTTTATATTAATATTATTTTCTTTTAATTTTTGATTTGTTATGTTTAAATAATTTTCTGCATTATAAATTTTATTATTTACATCCATTTCTAACTCTTTTTGAAAACTTCTATATTCTTTTAAGTACATATAATTGGTTTCTATTTCTTTTTTTAATTCAACTAATTTTTCATTTTTTGCAGTATTTTCTTGAGTTAAATAAAATATTTCTTGAGATTTTTTTTTTAATTCTTCATTTAAAGCTGTTATTTCTTCATTTTGAGATATAAGCATACTTTTCATTCTATTTACTAAAAAATTTTCTCCATCTGATTTTTCTAAATTATTACTGTCTTCTTCTACATCATATATATTGAAACCTTTCTCATCATTTTTTTCTTTCAACTTTAAATCTATTTCTAAAATAAATTATGTAAAATAAGAAATAAAATTATCAAACAATGTAATTTAAATATCAAAAAAAAAAAAAAATAAAAAAATAAAAATGACAAATATAAATATGTGTATATAAGAATGAAAAAAAAACAAAAATGACAAATATAAATATGTGTATTTAAGAAAAAAAAAAAAAAAAAAAAAAAAAAGTGTGTGTAGTTTAAAATACATAGATATAACACACATTATTTATATTAAAAAAATCATATGTAAATAATATATATATTTATATATATATATATATATTCATACCCATATTATAAATTTCTTGGTCTTTTTTATTTATTTGTAATTTTAAAAGATTTATTAATTTTAATAAATTTTGAATTTTCGTTTTCATTTTATTATCTTCTGATTTCCCTTCCTTTGATTCACTCCTACTGCTATTAATTTCAATTAAATTAAAATTATGAATATTATCTTCGATATTTTCATCACTATCTTCTGTGATATTCTTTATATTTATGTCATTATTTAAAACTTTTTCCTTTTCATTTAACTTATCTTCATTCTCATTGCAAAAAATATCATTCGTATTATTTTCATTTGAATTCTCAATTAAAATTTTATTTTCCATTGCATTTTCCTCTATAGAGCCATTGCACATTTCATTACAATTTAAATTTAATAAACCAAAATTTTCTTCTTTCCTCATTTCTCTAATTTTTGTTTCTTCGTTTATATTTTCCATTAAAATAGCAAAATCATTTTTTAAATTTATCATTTCTTCATATACATTTTTTTTTGATAAATTGCTATCAGACTTAGTTTCTGTTTGCATTACTACTAATTTCTTCAAATTTAAAAAAAAAAGAAATATATTTAAATAAACGATTACATATATGTGTTTTTGTTACTATTTGTTTTTTATTTTTTTTTTTTTTTTTTCAAATATAATATTTAAAATATAAAATCATTTTTCCTTTTTTTAGTAAATTAAATAATAAAATACAAAAAAAAAAAAATTAAAAAGACATATTTTAAAAATATAAAGAGATAAAGTTATAATGATTAATAAATTTATTAATACTACACTAACACTTATTAAACTCTATAACCAAAAAAAAAAAAAAAAAAAAAAAAAAAAAAGGAAAGAAAAGGATGATAAATAAAAATAAAACATAATATATAGAAACGTAAAAAAAAAAAAAAAAGTTAAAACAAGAAAAAATGAAGATATTAAAAAAAAATAAAAACTAAAACTAAAACATAAAATTGGTAAAAATTGAAAAGAAATGAAGGGAAATATATATTAAAATATAGAATTAGGAGATATAAGAAAAAAGTTAAAATAGAAAGTACAAATATTGAAATAAAAAAACATAATAGAAAATTCAGAAATTAAAAAATTCAAATTACAAAAAGAATATAAAAATATAAAAAAAATGAATACTAAACTTTAAAAAGGTATAATTAGAAAATTTTTATAGCAATCGTAGCTCTTATTAGTGTGTTATTTTTTTTTGAGTTAAAATATTTTATTTATAAAAAAACATACTCTCATTAAATATTAATACTTATTCTTTTCTTTTTCTTAATTAGCAATGTGCTTTAATAGTAGGAATATTAAAAAAAAAAAAAAAAAAAATGCTTTTTTTTAAATATTTGAAAATTACTAGCATTTAATACATAATATAACAATAAAAGTTTTTATGTTGTCACACTTTTTACTTTTTTAATTTTGTATTTAAAAAAAATTTGTAAATATACAAAAATAAAAGTACATTTAAAATAATCTAGACAAAAGGAAAAAAAAAAAAAAAAAAAAGTAAAAAAACATAAAATATCAAATAAGAATATACATAGATTTTAATTATCATTAATTAAATTTAAAGAATGTCTGATTACGTGCTATATTAAACATTAGAATTTTTTTAAACTTAAGAATCAGCAAAAAAAAAAAAAAAAAAAAACAGTATATATTATTTTTTTATAAAAAAACAGGTTACGTAAAAATCATATATCGTAAACATCAATAATACAAAACAAAAAAAAAGGGTTTATAAAGGATAAAAAAATAGGCAATCTAAAAGAAAACTAAAAAAAAGAAAAGTTTTAAAAAAAAAAAAAAAAAAATTGTAAAAATAAAAATAATGTCATTTTACTTATTCTATGCAAAATAATATTGCACTTTATTTTTTTTTATTTTATTTATTTTTTCTATTTGCACACAAATTTTTTTATTATGTTTTATAATAAAGGAAAAAAAAAAAAAATACATTTATAAGAAATAATGGATAAATATTATATTATATTTATAAATAAAAAATTAGAGTTAAAAAATAAAATTTATTTTTATACAATACTATATTCATATATTCTATAAAATTATTGCTTTATAAAAAATATAAATTTTAAAGTAAATTTTCGCATTTTATCTAAATATAAAAATTAGACTATATATATATATGATATATGTTTTTTAATAAAATATGTCCTAATAAATATTATTATGGAATATTTTTTTTTTTTTTTTACAAGGATAATTATCTATTAATAAAATGTAATTTTTTAAAAGAAAACTTTAAAGAAAAGAAAAGATTTTAATTATATGCAAAATAATTATGTATATGCACTATACAAATAAAAAAAAAAAAAAAAAAAAATGAATCTAATAAATATAAAAAGATGTATATTCATAAAAAAAATAAAAAAAAAATTAAAAAGCAAAATAATTTATACAATATTAATTTTCTTTTTTTTTAAAAAATTAAGGGAAAACATAAATGCAGTACTAAAAAACACAAAAGTCGATAAACTAAAAATAATACGATTTTTAACTATATAATTTGTAGTTAGTTTTTTAAGAATATTTAAGAAATCAGTAATTTTATTACTTGTTAATAAACTTTGAATATCTATTATAGAAATTGTGCATTTATCTTTATAAGATAAATAATTACTTGAATTTAATGGAATAATATTTTCATTAATATATAAATTTAAATCATTTATTTCACTTCGTTTGTATTTTGGTGGTTCTGGTGTTTTTTTGTGCATTAAATAAAGGCAATGTTTCAGATTATAATTGTTAATAATTATTTTATCTCCTATTTTATCAAAATTCAATAAATAATTTTTATAAATGTCTTCTTTCTTTAAGGTTTTAGTCATATATGTTTCTTCTTTAGAATAACCTAATTTTTTATAATATTCCCTTGTGCCAACACCAGCAATAATAGACATTTTTTTATAATTATAAAAATAAGAAATAATTTCTGCAACTAAAACTAGGCATTTTCCTAATCCTTTGTGTTGAATAAAATTTAATTCATCTTTAAAATCATCATGCTTTAATAGTGAGCCATATACATGTAATTCTCTAATTAAGGATGAATTTTCCAAACATTTAAAAGGTCTATCATCACAAAAATTATTTTTATGTCTTAATCGTAATCTTAAGAAACCTAATAAGGCATATTTATTATCATAATCATCATCATCATCATCACCATAATTGTTATTATATATTTTCTCCAAATTATCAGAATTTAATTTTTCTGATTTCTCTTTATAATTACAAAAATTACTATTTTTACCATTAAGATTCACTTCATTTTCATTTTTATAAGTATTATTTTTTTTATTATCAGATATAAAATTTTCTTTATTATTAATAATATTATCATTATTATTAATATTATTATTATTGAACTTTTCTTCATTTATGTTTGACATTTTTTTTTTATTCTTATTTTTTTTTTTTAATTTACTACTTTTTTCTGAATTGTTCAGAATTTTTTTTCCTTGAAAAGTAATAAAAAATTCATCACCTCCTAAAGTTGGATATTTATAAATTTTTAAAAAAATAGAATTCTTATTTTTTTCAATTTCTTGATTTTTAATTTCTTTACATCTTATACATTGACAAAAAACATTTCTTATATTCATTTCATGAGTTATTAGTTGTCTCATATTAGTAATATTATTACCAGCAATAATAGAAGGGTTTGGAATATCTCGGATAACTCTATTTAATCTTATCCATGGATGAATTGATTTTTTTACAAGAAGAATTAAACATATTAATAAATTTTTATCATTTTCAAAATATGGTTTATATTCATTATTATTATACCATTTTTCAATTTTAGTGAAAGGAGTAACCTCACAAGGATATATCTTCCATTGATCAGCTTGCAAGTCAGTTGAACTTAAAATATATTTAAACATATCAATATCTTTATATACATTAGAATATGGTAAATCTGGCATTAAATGAATATCTACTTTAAAACCATTTTCTTTTAACAAATATATAGCCCTTATGCAATCTTTAACAGTACATTGCCTATTTACTTTTTTTAAAATAAAATCATCAGTGTGTTGAATACCCAACTGAACTCTTGTACAACCATAATATCTTAATCTCAATAATTCATTTTTATTTATTTGATCAGGTCTCGTTTCTAAAGTTAATCCAATTATTCTACAATTACTCAGTTCATTTATTTCTTGTTCTTCTTTTAAACTTAGTTTTTTTCTTCTATTTTTTAAAACAGGATAAATATTTGCAGAATAATATACATCTCTTATAAATTCTTCTTGATATTCTACATCATAACAACTCCATGTTCCACCTAAAACTAACACTTCAATTTTATCTGGAACATGACCATTATTTACTAAAGTAGTTGTTCTATTGAAAAATTGACAAATTACATCAAAATTATTTTGATTAGCTCTTAAAATAGCTGGCTCAGTTGATAAATAAGATCTTGGTTGATTTGGCTCATTGGGACAGTAATGACAATCATACTTACAACTAAATTTATGTGGATGAGTTATTAATGTTATTACCAATACACCACTATTTGATCTAACTCCTTTACGTTTATTTATTTGCAAAAATTGAACACTTTCTAAATCTAAATCTTTATAATTTTTCATCTCTTTAGTAATTATCATCTTATTTACATTTTCCATAACAAATTTGACATCCTTTCCTTTTTTATTTATGATTACATCATCTTCATTATTTTCATTATCACTTAAATTTTCAATTTCATTTAGGTTTTTAACACCATTATTCATATTTTCACATTGTTTTATATTTTTATCATCATTATTCATATTTTCACATTGTTTTATATTTTTATCATCATTATTTTCATTTTCATTTTTATCCAAATTTGTATCATCATCATTTGCCATTTCTTTTGAATTATTTATTTTTATATCGATATCGTTGGTTTTATCTTCGTTTTGACTATTTAAAGTTTGCAAATAATAATGTTGCAAAGCCACACTGATTTGATGTTTAGATGGACTAACCTTATATTTTTTTCTTAATTTTATACATAGTTCTTGATATTGTGTTTCTGTTTTTATAGTGCTTCTATTTGACCATAATTCTTCCGCAAATTTTTTAAAACTTTCATTTTTTAAAATATCATAATAATAATTTTCATTATATTTATAAAAAAATTCATTCATAGTAGAAGAATAACATTCATAATGCCTTAACTCATTTTTATTTTTTATTTTTTTTTTAAACTTTTCGAAATTTGTTGGTTCATAACAATATATTTTTGGGTATATATTATTTTCTTCATACTCTAATGGATAATTTCTTTTTATTATATCGTTTATATAATAATAATCATTTTCATTGTTATTTACTTTTTTTTCTTCACATATAGTATCATCATCACTTATCTCATCTAGGATGTCATCAACATAATTTTTTTTACTTGATTCCATAAGAGTCTCTAAATGAATTACTTCATTTTTTACTTTATGCCTACCTTTTTCAAATTCTTCCATATGTTTATTTTCATACATCATCTTTTTTATTCTTTTTTATTCTTTTTTATTGTATTTTTATTATATTAATCATATTTTCTATATAAGTATCTTTTTTTTTTTTTTTTTTTTTTACGATAATCATATATATCATAAAAACTTATAGGAGAAACTTTTATATATAATTGTTCAATATGTTTTAATAGTTTATTACTTTATATTATTACAATTTTTTTTTTAAATAATAATGCAAAATTTTAAAAATATCAATATACTAATTATATATATTACATAAAATTTTTTTTTAAATATATTAATTGGATTATTCATAATAAACTAGAATATCAAAAAAAAAATTCAAATAAAATCACATCATAAAATAAGAAAATTGTAGGAATTTATCCATTTTATTTATATTTAATTTTATTTTTTTTTTTTTTTTTTTTTTTTTTTTTTAGATTGTTACTGTTTTTTATATTAACTAAATATTATTCAACAAAAATTTTTTTTAATAAAATATATACTATTAATTTTTTTTTTTTTTATATTAATTTATGCATATATATATATATATATATATATATATATATATATATATATATATATATATATATTTAATTTTGTTGAATGGTTTGAGTTTGCTAAAGAAAGTATAAATATAAAATTATATTATTTATAATCGATTCAATATCACTTCAATTGTAGTATTAAGTTATTGTATATTTTTATTTCTGTTTTTAATTTTTTTTTTTTTTTTTTTTTTATATTTGGGTCATGTTCTTATGTTAGTAAATTACATTAGATTAAAACTTAGAAGATGTAATAATAATTTAAATAACTTCAAAAATTTTTATAGATATATAAGTGATGATATAAAAGAGGAAATAGTAACACATAGTTATAATAAAAAAGAATATGAAAAAAATATAGATATATCAGAACAGTGTAAAAGTTATATTGATTTAAAACAGAAAATATTTTATGACTATTTATCCAAAAAAACTTTAACTTTTATAAAAAAAAAGACAATAAAAGATAGTAAAAAAAATAATGACGATAAAAAAAAATTAATTGAAAATGGTAGTTTAATTGATTATATAAATAAAGAAAAAGAAATTTGTGAAAATGATGAAAATTTATCTGTAGAATATTTGAGTGAATATAAAAAATTGAATAAAATATTAAATAAAAATGGAAAAATTGAAGATGAGAAAAATAAAACAACGATAAGTAACGAAAAAATTAAAAAAAAAGATGGAATGACTTTAAAAAAAATAGGAAAAGAGAAAATAAATAAAGACACTAAAAAAAATATTAAAAAAAGTTACTGTGAAGAAATAAAAAGAGATGATATATATGTGAATAATAATGAAATAAAAAATGTAAAAAAGTGTGAAACACCTAATGAAATTTTTTTAAGCATTAATAACTCACCAAATACTATTAGTAATGATTTAATTAATATATATATAGATAATAGCAAATATTTTACTTTCTATGATGAGCAAAAAGAAATTAAAGAAATGAAATTAAATCAATATTGTTCGCATTATGGTATATGTAGTTCGAGGTTTGCATTTAAAAATTTGAAAAATGGGATTTTAAAAGTTAATGACAAAATAATTTATGAAAATGTTAATGTTTGTTTACATAAAGATAAAATTGAACTAACAAAAAGAGGAGAAGAATTACTAAAAAATAAAATAACAATTATTATAAATAAACCTAAAAACTATTTATCACTATCAACAGATATTAAATCAAATAAGAAACTACTAGTAAGGAATTTAATTAGAAATGAAAATAAATATGTTGAAGAAGATCATAAATGTATGAGTTATTTTATATATAAAAATGTAAATATTGAAAAAGTTAATAATTTATATGTATGTGGTAGGTTAGATGCTAATTCAAGTGGCTTGCTAATTTACACACAAAATACTTTATCACATAATTATTTATTGAATAAATATAAATATAAAATTGAAAAAGAATACATAATTACAACACATAATGAAATAAAAGAAATAAATTTAAAGTTATTACGTCAAAATTTATATATTGATGGTAAACTAATTTATAAATGTCACATAAAATATATAGATGGTTTTACACTTATATTTAAATTGTATCAAGGATTTCATAAAATTATAAGAAAAATTTGCCTACTCTCAAATATTAAAATTAAATCTTTACATAGAGTAAAAATAGGTAACATTCATTTAAATAACTTACCTACTGGAAAATGGAGATTTCTTATGCCTAATGAATCTTTTTTTTAAAAAACTTCTACAAAATAAGATATTTTATTTTAAAATAACTACATAAATTTTCATTATTATAAAAAATGTTATATTATTTTTTATAAAATTATTATCTTATTTATACTTTCCAAAATAATTTTTTTTTTTTTTTTTTTTTTTCTTTTTTTTTTTACTTATTTTTAAACTTAACAAAATTTATTTTAAACATATTTAGCTTTTAATAATTTAAAAACATTTTTTTTTTTTTTTAAATGTACATTTATCCATTTTGAACTACTAAGAGTTTTTTTTATTTATATATATATATATATATATATATATATATATATATATATATTGATACATAATAATAATTAGTAAATAATTCTGTTAATTGAATTTTTTAAATGTAAAATTTTTTGTAAGATTCATTTTTATTTTAAATTATGAAGAATTTATGAGTTTAAATTTGGAAAATATAAAAAATATGAATATTTATATAAATAAAAAAATCTAATGAACAGAATTAAAATAAAATATATATATGTATATATATTTGTGAATGAAAAAAAAAAAAGTGCTAATTAGTAAAAAAAAATGAATATTTTCAATATATGTTTTCGAAATTTTTCTAAAAAAGCTGGGTGGTCTTGGATAAAAAATAGGAGAGGAAGAAAAAAAATTATTTCTATCACTTATCCACCAAAAGAAAGAAGTAAAATAATTAAATTAACAGATGAAAGTGATAAATTAATTTTTGTAAGTAATGGAAAATTAAGAAATAATTTTTTATCTATTGTAAAAAATATGAAAGAAACAAAATGTGTTGTAAAAAATAATTTTATTATTACTCCATGTTTAGTTATATCTAAAGCAAAATGCCATACACTTTTAGAAATATTAACGTATGATGAAATTTTACATTTAGAAAAATTATCACCATGTATTCTAAAATGCTTTGAAGAAGCTGAAAAAAAATTAGATAAAGAGAAGGAAAATAACATATTAAAAAAACATGAAGCACTAAAATTTAAATTAATAAAATGAAATTTTAATAAAAATGAAAATATTTTTAAATACTTATTATTAAGTATATAATAGAGGAAAATATTCATTTTTTGTTACTATATGTCTTTTTTGTATATAGCTATCATCTATATAATAAATGTTAAAATAACTATGAGTTTCTATTATTAAACATCTTTTATTTTTTTTTTTTTTAGTTGTAATCTTATATATATATTATTTTTTTTTAATATTTTAAGAATGTATTTTAGATATTTTTTCTAGAGAAGGCATTTGATTAAAATCTGGTGATAAATATTTTGTTTGCTTTTCTTCTAAAAAAAAAGTATCTACATTTTTATTATGAAGAATTAAATTTGAATTAACTAAGTTCCTTTTTTTAATTTCTTTAAAAGAAGATTCATTTTTAAAAAAGGCATTAGAGGAAGAAACAGAAGAAGAAGAAGAAGAAGAGGAAGAAGAAGAGGAAGAGTATGAACGATTTTTGCATTTCTCACCAAATATATTTAAATTATCTTCTTTGAAATATTCATTATCAATAATTTTATTTTTTTTATAATTTTTTTTTCTCATTTTTACATGTAATTCTCCAGTATGTTTTTTTCTGAAAATTTTCGTAAAATCTGTTAAAATAGGATCATTTAATTTTATTTGGAACAATTTGTTTTTAATTACACATCTGACATAATTTACATTTATATCTATATTAATTAAAGAATTACATAGATATTTTGGTAAAAACAATCTTAATAATGTAAATTTTTTATTTGAATATTCATCAAAAACGAATTTGTAATGACCTAAAATGTTTAAAATAAATTATTAAGATGAAATAATGTTTTCGTTATTTTTTTCTTTAACATTTTTTATAAATGATAATATTTTTTTTTTTTTTTTTTTTTTTTTTTACTTTTTTTTTCAAAATATTAACAAACCTTCATTACATTGACGGATTTCTCCTTCATCAGTATAAACTGGTAAAATTTCTTTTTTATCATTTTTATTATTTTCATTTTTTTTTTTTTCAAGTTCATTTTCTTTTTCTATTTCTTCATATATAATTTTTCTATTATTAATAGTATCAAAACTATCTTTTTCTTTCAAATTATATATCCTCATTTCTTCTTTTAGTGATTCTAAAACATTTCTAAAAATTTGTTTTGACTTTATTCTATCAGACATCAATATATCACAACCATCTAACACTTCTAGATGTTGTAATTTAAATATAATAAAAAATTTCAAATATTTCCAAGTAGAACAAGGGTTACCCATTAAATATAATTCTTTTAAGTTTTCATTGTTTTTTAAATTATTTATAGATTTTTCTATTGTTAAAATGTCAATAAAATTTAGTGTTAAATCAAGCTTAAACCAAAAAAAAAAAAAAGACAAATTATTAAATTTATAAAAATAATAAAGAATGTATTAAATGAAAAAAAAAAAAAAAATTAAAATATTATATATATTTACATTATAAAACTTATCTATTATATATTCATATATATAGATATTTTTTTTTTTTTTTTTTTTTTTTTTACCTTCCTTAATGATTCACATTTTTCTAAATTTTCAATAACTGTGATGTTATTCAAAGCTAAATTTAAATATTCTAATTTTTTCAACTGGTTTAAATTTTCAATTTTTTCTATTAAGTTACTTTGTAGCAATAATATTTTTAAATTTTTACAATGAATATTTATAAATTCTATTTTCCTAATTTGTAATTGATGTAAAGCTATTTCTTCTAATTCTTCAATTAGACCTTCATTGTGTTCACTTTTTTTTCTTATTAAATCTAAATCTATCCTCATTTTTTTTTTTTTTTTTTTTAGTATTTTCATATAATATGATTTTAATATTAATTTTTATTTTATTAATCAAAAATAGATAAAAAGTAAAAAATTTACATATTCCTATTTTTTTTTTTTTTTTTTTTTTTTTTTTTATAGATACTATTGATATAATTAAGATTAATAATATTTATATCATTTTTCTCCTTTTTTCAACGTAACTTTTTTTTTTTTTTTGTCTTTGTAAAATATTTTAATAATTTTAAATATTCTTAAAATATCCATAGTCTTAAAAAACTCAAATTTTCTTTTTACTTAATTTATTTTATTATTTTTTTATTTTTTTTTTTTTTTTTCACATAAATCCTTAAAACACCAAAATTATATATTACTTTTTTAATTTTATTTCTTTATTTTCATTTTTTTTTTTTTTTTATTAATCTTAATTTTGCGATTTTTTCATTCTTTATGTATGTTATTATTTCTTTTAGTTCATTTTTCCTTTATTATTTTAAAAATTTTAAAACTATATTATATTTATTTTATTATAATTTGTTATTATTTTCCTTTTTTTTTTTTTTTTTTTTGTAAGTAGTAAAAATAGTAGAAAGAAAAAAGAAATTTAAAAATAATTTATTAAACAGAAATATATAAATGATATATAGAAGAAGGTTGAATATAATTGCTAATTTAATTATAAAAAGAAAAACACAAACTTTTATTCCGAAATGTGAAGGAAATATAATAGATAAATATGAAGAACTAAACTTCTTAGATAATGATATAAAACACAATATACATAAATTAAAATGTATAGAACAAAAGAAAATTAAAAATGATCGTATTATATATAAAAAAATATTAAAAGATCTCTTAAAAGAAAAGGAAAATTTTGTTGCTGATGAGTTAGTTCAACTTTTCTATATAATGATTTATAATGATTTATATTACTTAGATATTTGCTTTAGGTTTTTTACTTATTTTTACAATAGTTACATATTTTCAAAGAATTATTTTAACAATGTAAATGTAAATAATATTATTCATATTATATATTCCTACCATTTATTTGAAAATTATCATTTTCTAACAGTGAAGAATAATATATTTATCTTAGATAATAAAATTGAGGAAAAGCAGAATTTAAAAAATGAAAATAATAAAATTACCAATTTGAAATTCAATCAACTAAATGATTCCATATCAAATGCAAAAATTGAAAATGTTAACGATATTTATTCAAAATTAGATACTTATGTAAAAAAGAACAAAAATGAACAAAATAATTTTATAAATATGAATAGATACAATGAATATTATAATAATAATACCTATGGTAGTTTTCATATATATAATTATTATTCAGACTTTATTCATTTTAATATTGATTATATAAATAAGAATCATTTGATTAAAATATTATTAGTTCTTTCACAATTTGTCTATAATACGTCAATAAACTATTTTTTTGAAAATAAATTTAAAGGTGAATTTTCTAATTTTTCTTCTAATAGTAATTTAAAAAATATTGAAAAAAATTTATTTATAATTATTGAAGCATTCATACAAAAAATTGATATAAAAAAAGATATTAAAAAATCATATACACCAGAAACTATGAATGAAAAAGAAATTAAAAAAAAAAAAGAAAGATACATTAATTTAATTGATAATTCTTACAAAAATTTTATTTATATAGATAATGAATTAAATGATCATAAATTAGTATGTCTTTTTTTTTATGTTTTATCTAACATATTTCATCCACTGTCTACAAACTTCTTTTTTTCAAAAGAAGATTATCTTTCCTTTGAAAGTTTATCAGATTATTCGTCTAACAAATTAACTGAAGAAAACAAATCAAAAATATCAAATGACTCCAATAATTTTTGTAGCTCCTTAGAAAATTTAAACACAAATGATATAATGAATTTACCTATAATTAAAATATTTATTAATCATTATAATAAACTAGAAATGCATAATATGTTTTATAGAAATATAGATAAAGAAAAATCCAATATTCAAAATTTCATAATTTATAAAAATAATATATTAAAAAATATTAAAAAATATGTATTTTTAGATTCTATATATAGCCTAGATACACATTATAAATTAATATTTTTTAAAGCAGTTTATTCCCTTAACTTTTTTAATTTTCCTTTATTAAAATATATATATTTGATATATTATTATCAACAAAATAATAATATTGATAACTTTGACTATTATGACAATTTACATTTTCATAATTTTCAAAATATTCATATCCATTACAATCAGAATAATGATGATCCAACTGAAAATAATCAAAAAGAATCCATTCAATATAAATTAAATCAAGATGAATTAAATGAAGAAATAAAAGATAAAAAGAAATATGAGGATCTATTGAAAAATAAATTAATAGAGGCTTCAAAAAAATATGATATTTTTAATAATGCTTATATAAATTTACTAAATGATATTGAAAATAATATAAAAAATAATTCAACTGAACAAATAATAAATACATTATTACATATGCATTTATTTAGATTTATTGATAATCATTTTATAATTCTTATAATATCAAAATTATGTAATAACACTGATAAATTAAGAAATGAGCACAAAAAAAAAATTAATAATATTATTATGTCATTGCTAATATTTTTATCAACTCATATTTATTCTAATAATTTATCCTTTCTAAAATACTATAATCATAATATCAATATTTTTAATCATATATACTATAATAACAATATATACATAAGACATTTAAAAAAATTATACGATTTCATATTACTTTTATATAATAAAAATATATTTAAAAAAAAAAGAAAAGAACTACAATCCTGGACAAATTATAAATGCATATAATGTATAAACAACTATAATTCATTCTATATGAAATTATTAAAAATTTATACTCAAAAAAATAATTAAATTTAGTTATTTTATTTTTTTATTTTTTATATTATTTGTTATTACTTCAATAATTAAATTGTTTTATTGGAAAATTCCTAGTTCATTTTAATGTTGTTATATTAAATTATTATCAATTTTTTTTAATTTATTAATATTTGATTAAACTATTAATATTTTTCTTCTTTATGAACAAAAAGAAAGAAAATAATTTAAGTATATGTTAAGAATGAATTTGCACATTATTTATAAAAAATATAATTTATCATTTTGAAGTTTTATTTTTATATTTACATCATTATTTATACATTTTTATAAAAATATTTCACCATATTTTTAATGTATTATAAATTATATTTTCCGAAATACAATATAATGAAAAATTATAAATTATTAAATTAACTCAAATTATTATTATTAAATTAGTTTTTAATTATTTTTATCTTATTTTTTTTATATATATATATCTTTACCAATGTTCATATATATTGGTTAATTTTCTGTTATATAAATTTAAAAAAAAATAAATTTTGATCTTAAACACATATTAATATTAAATCTGATCAAATTCATTAGGTATTTTTACCTCTTCGTAGCAAATTTTTTTTTTTTTTATTTAAAAGAAATACTTATTTATTTTCTTTAAATAAGTGCTATAAACAGTAAATACTTATATTATTCAAAAGAAAAATGAACATATTACATATATATATGCGTTATGTATTGTTTTAAATATAAAAAAATATTCTTAAATATATTGTTATAGTCTTCTTATTTATATTATATTATAACAAACATGAGGTATCATGAATTATTAAAATTTTTTCTTCATTTTTGTATTCATTTTTTTTAAATATTTATGTGGTTTGTATTAATTCCCAATGTACGTCGAAAATAAATAATAATTTATTTTTAATTTTTAATACTATTTATTTATTTTTTTTACTGAACATTTAATTTTCAAAAAAATATATTCTATATTTTCTTCTTTCATATAATTTGGTAATTTTTCCTTTTTTAATAGTACAACTTTTAAATATACTATTTCTAATTATATTTAGATCAACGTAAAAATATGTAGTTTTTATTTAGAACATTTATGGAACTAGAAGTATTATTTACTACCTTTTTTTTTTTTTTTTTTTTTTGCGATAAATTAAAACTTACATAAAATACAAACCACAGTTTACAATATATACACTTTCTTTTATATTTTCTTTTAAATTTTATTACATAAAAAAATTTATTTTTTTTTAATTTATTTTTTTCATAAAGATCTTATTTTATTTGATATCCTGCTTATTTTACCATAAAACTTCATATATTCTGTATCTCCTATATAATAAGATATATATTTTTTAGAAAAAGAAATAGAAATAGAAATACACTTGAATATTTTATCTGTACAAGTATTACTTTGTGTGTCTTGATTGCATACGTAATATTTTAGTATTTATAGTATAAGTTTTATTATTTTTACATAATTACTTGAAAAATTAACATATTGCATTAATACTAAGTTTTAAGAAATTGTATACTTCATAAAAACTCTTACATATCATTATCACATTTTTATATTATTTTACATATTGAATGAAAATAATTATGCTATATGCACACAATATTTACTTTCCATGTGCTGAATTTATTATTTTATTTTTTTTTTTTTTTTTTAATCTTTGTTTTAATAAGTTGCATATATTATGTATATAAACAAAAAACTAATATTGAAATGTAATATAATTTTAGGATAATATTAAAAGCAATTTTATACTTATTAAGAAAAACATAAACACATATAATGTAAATCATAAACCAGTTAAGAAAATTAGTTTCTTTCCATTTAATTTTTTTTGAAACTATTTTTTAAATAATTTTCTTTTTACCTTAACATTCTCAATTTTACCTTACCATTTTTATTTTTTTTATTACTCTTTTTTTTTTTTTTTTTTTTTT